TTCCAAGAGCAGAATACCTTCCTGATGGTGTGGGGAGATCCAAGGCTGTGCTCCAGCTTCCAGCTCTCCTTGCCTGCACCCAGGGGAGCAGCACACTCCTCGTGGGGAGGGCACACAGACCCCACTGATCCTTTTAGGCAATCAGGAAAACCTGCTCTGGGCTTCAGACACAACCAGAGCTAATCCCCCTCTGCCAAATGTATGCAGGCTGTGTTACAGGAGAGAACCAGAGCCGGGAAAAGCAGAAAGAGATGGAAGGAACAAAACTTGTGGCTCTGCAAAGGCAGCGCAGCTCCATGGGGAAAGCAGCCACGGTGCCCAGGATGGCAGCTCTCACATCAATCAGACACAAACCCAAGGTCACTTGCAGAACAAGCTGCTGAGCAAACACAGTGAGGAAACCACGGCCACAGAGCTGAATTGCACCTCCAGCCCCCAGCTCAGCATGTGCAGGGCAGCTGCAGAGATGTCAGATTTAACAGGAGCTATGGCAGACACTCCAGAGAGTGAAACACAGCCCTGCTCTGCTCCTCTGCACCTCCCATTGAGCAGCAAGGCACCAGGACAGCTTCCTCAAAAAAAAACCCAAAAAGTATTTTCATTAAAAAATTTCCATATTTTGAAAATACACAAAATCGTTTGCCTCACACAAAAATGAGGTGTGTGTCTCTCTGTGCCCACAGGTGCTGTGTGTGTCACTGGCACTGCCACCCTGCTGGTGGGGCTGCAGTTCCTCAGCCACAGACTCAATCTGTGTCCCAGAAATCAAAAAGCATCCAGCAGAAAGCATGGAGCTGCAACCAACAAGGACACAAAAAAATAGGTCAGTGGGTATTTCATACTTGACTGCTCTCTGCAAGATGCTGTGGAGCCAAGAACAAAAATTCAAGATGAACAAAAATCCAAGATGAACAAAAATCTAAGGTAACACCACAACACCCCAAATACAAGCAGAGACCCCTTTGTAAATGTCACATAGGTAATGGATCCCTGATAAAGCACAGCAGCAGAAAAAGAAAAGCTTCAATAAAACACAGAAGGAAATGGGAGGGGAAAATCAGCTGTCTCCCAGTCACACACTTGGGTGCAGAGCCTTGATTTCACTGCCACTTTGGGCTAAGCCATCCCAAATCATTTCATGTACCAGGGACACCTGCACTCCTCCTGCTGGCTGGAAGAAATAACCCCCTTGTTTTTGGGGGGAACAGATGCCAGCCCAAAGCTCCAGGAGGAATGTGAGTGTTGGGAGATCTGTGTGAGCACAGAAATCCCAATTCCCACTCCCTGCTCCCAGGGCAGACACTGAGCCCAGGGAAAGCTGAGCCCCCAGCACTCAGGGTTTCTGTGACAATCACAAACACAAGAGGCTTGTGAGAAGCTGCTGCTGAAGAGCAAATGGGGGCACCTTGTGGCCAGCTGTGAAAATGTGCAAGACTACCTCGATTTTCCAGCACAAAAGCCTCACTGGGAAAACTTCCATGAAAATTGAAAAGGAAAAATTTCATTAAAATATTGAATTGTAGCTGCCTGTGTAGGTTCAGTCCACATCTTACACGAGGTTGCCCTTAGCAGTCCCCTCAGAAGGATTTGCAATAAGCTGTGTGGAAGCTTTTCCTGCTCTCTCTTTTCCCATGAATATCACACTCCCCAGAGCCAGTCTCAGCTCAGAACAATTTTGATTACCTAGAAACTACCTAATTCTTAATTCCACTGATTTCTCCTGCATTTTAAATGATCCCAAAATACTGAAGCAAGAGGTACAACCAGTGTCCTCTTCTGTGTTCAGATCTAGAGGATCTGGTAGAAATTCAGGTAGAAATTCAGGAACCAAACTGAATTCCCAGTTGCTGCAGATTAATCTGCCAGCAGGGCAGTGTGGTGAGCAGGAATGTCCCTCCCCATGGCACTGTGCTCTGGGATCACCTGCACATGTCAACCCCTAAATTTTGGTGTTTAAAACATCCCTGTGAGTGATTTGTGCGTCTCACCAAACACACAGGGCCCCTGTGCTCCTGGCTGACCCCAGAGGGGGAGAATCACAGAGCCACAGAACCTCCTGAGCAGGAAGGGACCCACAAGGATCATACAGTCCTGCCCTGCACATTCACCCCAACAATCCCACCCTGAGCATCCCTGGAGCTCTGTGGGGCCATGCCCATGCCCTGGGGAGCCTGGGCAGTGCCAGCACCCTCCAATACCCAGCACAGCCCTCCCTGGCACAGCTCCAGCCCTTCCTGTCCCTGTCCCAGGGAGCAGAGGTTGGATCACTTGGGTCTGTGACTGTCCCAGCATGTGGGGTGCCTGTGCTGATGCCACCTTACCTCCTTGGATTCCCATCATCTCCACCATTTACTTCATGAAATTTCATTAAGTCACAGAATTTGAGCAATGAGAACCACATTCCTTGTTTAAAAGCAATTTTTTCCCTAAGCTGTGTTTGGAATGAGCTATCACTTCACATTATGCTGCCTTTAGAAAGTTAATCACGAGTCACAGCTTATGCCTTACATCCAACACCTGTCCTCAGACTCAGCTACAATCCCTGAACATCCACTCAGCTCCTGAATTGTGATGATTTCCAACTATGAGGCTAAAGCATCTGCTGGCTATTTCAATCCTATATATAGCCAGGACAAAAATGTTCCTTTCCTGTTTCCCTCATGATAGACTGACAACTGCCCTTACTCAGATCATGAATATATATTATCATTTACCGTAGCAAAACTGCATTTTGATGTTGAAATTGTGAATAAGACTGCCCAGAAAAGCTGAGAAGAACGCTTCTCACTTACTTTGTGGTCCAGTGGGCACAGATTGTCACCAGCTGGTATCAGTGAATGACTTGGTACGTAAAAACTGACTAAGTGCAGGACTTCAGTCACAGAGCCAAAGACACTGAACCTGGGAGATTTCTCTGGTAAGGAGAAAGCCAGTCAGCCTGCCCAAGAGCTGGGAGCCTGAGAACTTTTACACACTGCTGTCACTGCCAGATTTTCTGAAAAATCCCCTTGCCAAGCATTCTCCTCCTGGGAAGCTGAGAAGCCTCAGAGAAAAAGGAAAACAATTTTATCTGATTTGCTTTTCTTTTTTTTTGTTGTTTTGGATTTTGTTTGGGCATTGTTTACCAACTGGTTGTTGTTTCATTGGTTTCATGTGAATTATTTTAATTATTGGCCAATCAGGGGCCAAGCTGTGCTGGACTCTGGAGAGAGAGTCACGAGTTTTCATTAGTATCTTTCTAGCCTTCTGTCTGTATCCTTTCTCTATTCTTTAATATAGTTTAGTATAGTTTTAGTATAGCATTCTTTAATATAATATAGATGATAAAATAATTAATTAGCCTTCTAAGAACATGGAGTCAGATTCATCATAAAAATAATAAATTAGCCTTCTAAGAACATAGAGTCAGATTCATTATTCCTTCCTCCCTTCGTTGTGGGACTCAGAAAACACAACAGAAATACTCAGAAAATACAACACCCTGCAGGTAAGCCCAGCCTGGTGCTGATATTTTAAATGTCTTTGCCAGAATAAAGGGTACCCCTGTGAGTGCCAGGACCCCGTGCCCAGCTCAGGCTGTAGCTGCCCTCCCTCCCGC